GACGCTTAAGGGTCCGATTACAAAACCAATAAAAAAGAAGTAAACATTGTAACTACGTTGGTAACTAAGATAAAGAGACAATTATTAACTAATCAAAATTGACCTTTGTCTAGTGTCCTTAACATGCCTAGTAAGAGAAAGATAAGTGGATGCGAAACCTCCAGCTACCTTTGTTTCACTGCTCATTAATTCTTTTGCGTTCAGTGACGTTCCCGTTGCCGTTGCCGTCGTGGTTTCGTTAACTCCCTATTAGGACTATCACTCGTTCTCGCCTTTTCACGCGAAATAGGTCAGTTCCGATCTACATGACATGCGTTTCTGTAAGGAAAAAATGATGGCGGCCTCAAGATATATGTCGAAACATACGAAACGTCAAGTTAAATGAATTTTGTTTTCCAACACGCGTTTTATTGTCATGTTAGTCACTGCATTTTGTGTGTCATTTGTTATTAAGCTACGATGGCCAAAGAAAAAGAATATTCAGGGTAAGGGTTTTGGGAAGCGGGCCAATTTTTTCTTGGTTACTGCCCTGCCCCTACTGCTTAATCCGTGTCAGTTGAGTGTTGAAAGTAATCAGGCAATTACTTTGGTTTTGGTTTTGGTTTTACCAGGTTTTGAGATTGCCTGAGTAGTCTAACTATAACTGGTAAGTAATTGGTTTGGCTTTGGTTTTACCACACTCAATTGAGAACTGCTCTAGAGGACGCAAATTAGATTACGAGAGAGCACTTCTTGATGCTCCAAGGTCCAGATGTGTTCTACACGAATCAGAGAGTATTTTCGATTTGGAGAATGGAATCGTGTTCTCTACATGTATACCTCAAAGTGGAGCGGTATGTTAGTTCGCATGCTCAAATGAGGTTTTTGCCTGGAAATAGACAGCTATAGCGGAGCTCCTGCGCGCCGAAGGCCCCCATGCCTTAGAAAATTTGGTAACCCATCGATCTCAAAAATTTGGGTTGTCACGTGACTATCCGTACGTACGTACGTACGTAAGTTGTCCACATTATGCCGGCATAATTTTGAGCATAATTGTGAAGCATGAGCATCGAGCATTGTGCCAGCATAATAGTAAGAAAAATTCCCGGAAATATGTCAAAATATCGAAAATGAATAAATAAATACATCGGAATTAGGTACAATCTCGAAATTGGGATTCCTGATTTCCTGTGGAGAAATATACGTGACAATCGACTGCCCCAGATTTCACGACAGGAAACGGACGTGGCCACGTGGGGCGACTGGGAGTCTGGGACTCATTTATAATCATCCATATAAGTATATCAAGCGATTGTGTTTTATTTTAGGTAAAAAATGAGTGATCCGGGGGAAAAATTTTGAGCATAATAGTGGGACCTTTTGAGCATAAAGAATTAGCATGATAGTGAAAATTGTGAGCATAATGTGGACAACCCTATACGTAGTCCGTGCATACCTTGAAGAGTAAGGTAGTAGCACTACTACTATAGGTACATGTTTGATATTGGACATCCATGCTAAAATTAATTGACAGCTGTCAAAACAAGGTATCCGCTGACCAGCATCATGTGACCATATCTCGGGTTTTGGTCAAGAGCTCATAGAGGTCGCATGTTTTTTAAGTTGTCCGACCAGATACTAGGTTTTCGATTGGATCGCGGGCTCAAGCCAGGTTATTCCTCTGGGGGAGAGGGAGGGAGTACATGCAAAGGAAAAATTTCGGCGCAAATTAATTTAACCCTGACGCGTTGTTGACTTTTCTTCCGACATGTTCCTTGCACAATCGTCTTCTGGAAAGTCCATGATACTGATTGCGTGCGTGATTTCTACAATCTTGGGTACACTCATTAGGTATGGTTTGTTAAAATGTAACAAGAAAAAATAGTGAAACCACACACTTAACAATCATATGCTCACAATTGATCATTTTTTGAGTTTCTAATTCAGGGAAAAATATGCTCTTTTCATTTATGGTTAATTAATTGTCTAGTCAGGAGCTCCGCTTTTAGGCTTGGCTAAAAATATTGCCCTTTCTTGGAAAAATATACCAGTTGAAGGATCAATGGGGTTACAAGCACCTTCGGACTTGGGGGACAAGGTAAACTTCTTGCCCGAAAAAAAAAATAAAGTACATAATGGCCGAATTTAGAGTGTAGAAATCGGGATACAAACACGCTCAAATTACAGTAAAGAAACAAAAACCTTCACAATTCTCACGCTTATTGAAACTGTTTAGACCTGTTTATATAATTCCAAAAATAGTCAGACCAAAAGTCGAGAACCATTGTAGAACGGCTATTTTCAGAAACCATACATGACCAACCACAGTAAATTTGTTTAGCTGCTGACCACGGTTCCGTCACGCCACCCCACCCTACCCTAATGCGTAATTAGTACCCTGTTTGTTTGGATTCCCATCATTCAAGGCGAGACTGGAAGACGCTTTTGTTGAAAAAATAAATGGCGGCGAAGAATTGTAATTCCGGGAAATTCTAGTGAAGATAACAGACAAACAGAGCTGCTCACGTGAAGTTTCGCTCTTGAAGGATGTTCACAGAAGTATAAACCTGAAGTAAAGAGAAAGGTAAGCGAAGAGGGATAGACATTCAACTTTATGTTTGTAGATGTTACAAGCTAAAGGACGGCCATTAATGTTACGCGGTTTCTTGCTGTTGCTTTGTCTGATGGACTGCGCTGTGTTCCGCGCATCATTTTGAGTTTTCTCTTTTGAACTTTTCTTTTCTTTCTCAAGTAAAATGCTTTGAATTATTGCTCCCCTGGGCCTCAAATGTCCAACAAACATTATTTATGAAGTTGAGGCCAATCAATCTGTAATTTCGGTAATTTGTACATTCGAGAAAAATTGTACAAGAATGTAACCTCTGTAATTTCGTACCCTGTGAGCATAGTCACTTCAAACTTTCTTACATAAGGT